AACTTAAATGATTTTTGTGTTTAAGATTTTATTGCTAATCTTACTTATTATATTATAAATGCGAATGTATAGATGGATATTTGTATGAAGGTATCTCCGTAACTCAACGATTTAATTTGACACACATGTATAACATAGTCTGGAAGAACTCATAGGCTACCTATTAAGGTTTTACTAATCCCGCGTGTGCGGAGTTGCGGGCGACAGCTAGTTACGAATTATGATAGTACACCAGGGGCCTTAATTATTGTAAATTTTGTATTCTTTATTTAAAATAACTTATATATGTTGAAAAAGCGTAAGATTCTTAAAACGACACCTATCATGAAAACATGATTATTTGTATAACGTTGCGTTTGTTTGTATATTTTGTAGATGGCGTTGTAAAGACAAAATGTTATAAATAGATGTCGCTGTTTTCTTACATATTGAGTTCACATTGCCGAAACATTCACATAAAACATATTTATGTTTCTCAGTTGTTTTCCCTTGAAGATAGAAAGTAATTAATAAAATAAGAATCATACAAATTTTATTACAAGTACTGTCTTTCGAAATAAAAAAAAACTTCTAGGATTAAAGTAATAGTGCCTTTGAACAATATACATATTTGTTTATGTATAAGGAGGCTTTTTTAGAATACGATGTGAATATTTTCATATGTAATTATTAAATTTAATTTTTCCTTTTGTATGATTAAATAAATCTATGTATAATAATTATTATATAAATAATATTAAGATTCTTCACTTCCTTATGTATTTCTTAAAAAGTTATGTTTCATCATCAGCTCACTATACGTCCCCACCGAGGGGCTCGGAGCCTACCCTAAGTTAGGGGTGATTAGGTCATAGTCAACCACGCTAGCCCAATGCGGGTTGGTTGACTTCACACATATCTTTGAATTGCTTCTTAGATATGTGAAGGTTTGCATCACGATGTTTTCCTTCACCGTAAGAACATAGTATAAATGTACATATGTAAAAACACATTGGTACATGGCGGGATTCGAACCCAGGACCTGCAGATTGCAAGTCAAGTGCTTGACCCCTGAGCCACCGAGCCTCTATAAAAGTTATGTTAAGTACAGACAAAATAAAATCAATTTGCAGTTACAATTTTGTATTTTGAATAGATGTAACATACTTTTCTAAATTTGTGTTATGCATTTTACCTTAGGGAACGTACCCATACTACGTGACCCGTTTAGGGGGACGGGGGGGGGGGCGGAGTCCTTAAAATACTGCGGTCGGTAACAGGAGGGGAGGGGGGGCTGAGGTTTTTGTGACGTAGTCGTTAGTTGTTTTTCATCATAATTCACTAGTAATTTAAGTATGCATGCAGTCTTATGCTATAAAGAAAAGTATGAGCCAAATTATTTGTTTTTTTTTTTTGTGAAACGATTAAACATCATAATTATGAATTACGACGTAAAAATTAAAGGGGGCTTGGGGGTCTTGGCATGTACTACGAGTGGTCACTGAGGGAAGGGTCGAAAAAACTAAAAAAATAGGTCACGTAGTATGGGTATGTTCCCTTACAACCATGGTTATTATAAAAAGTATATAATGGAAGAGTACATAATGTTATTTATTAAGATCTATTAAATAGTAATGTCTACATACACAGATCAAACATTTTATTTTACTACATTCCGTAGACATACATTTGTAATATGTAAATTTAGCCTTAAATTTAAGGACACATTTTTTAATATTAAGCTACATTTAACTTGATTCAATGTATTTAAAAAATGGTTGTATCCATTGTTTTCAAGTTATGTACTTTTAAACATTTATTAATAACAATCCTTTGGCGCGAATGGCGCGCTTACATTACAAAGTCAAGTGTCAGAATGATTAGTGAGGGGACGTAAACATCGACATTTTAGTAAGGCTAGTGTTGTGCCAGTACACCGGCACAGTGTCGGATTTTCTTAACAGTACTTAACATTTTGTATAAATTATTGTTCTGTATTTGGTTTAAGATAATAAATTAAGTTCCACTTTATATTTTGTTATTAGAATTGATATCTCAAATCATAAGAATTGCACATATTATGTAAAATACTATTTGGTCAAATATAACGATAAAGACATTCCATATAGTCGACTTCAATGTAAATGAGATATTCAAATAAACCGTAGTTATAGTTATGTTAATAAATTTTTATCATCAATTTAAACAATGAGTTTACGAAATAAATCCAGAGACAATAAGTGATATTGTCAGTATCTTCTCATTTTTATTAAATTCGACTGAACAGTTATTAAATAATTATTATAATAAGATTTGGGATATTATAAGTTTTCTTGTTTATATCTTGAGATCTAGACTCATTAGGGTCTAGTTATGTATAACCGTGCGATTCCACTGTTGAAAAACCTAAAAGAATGACACGCATTTCATTCTCTTTGAAATATAAATATGTTTTTGTATAGAAGTCAGTGGAATTGTACGGCTAGATAAAAAAAAATATAATGACTCTTCGTGACTAAATCTACAACAAATGTAGAGATTAAAATTAAAAAAAAATGTTACCAATAGTGTTCAGATGTAATTATTCAGAGTACATGTATATAACCGTGCGTTTTCACTGCCGAAACACGCTTAATTATGTCTTCTCATTCCTTTAAAAGATAACATGTTTTCGTACATGTTTCGGCAGTGGAAATCCTCGGTAAATCAGTAATTAAATAATTTGGATCAAACTATAAATTAATATTTTGCTTATCTGATATTTATTTCATAATATATTTATTAATTTGTTTGTAAAATTTTGTCTCACTTATTGAATCCTATGGACTATTATTTGAAGAATATGTAGAATATATATTTTTGAAATACAATGACTTGTTTTATTTTAACTGGTTGTTTGCGACCTCGTCCGTGTAAGATACAAAGAGATCAGCTTAAACGTCTAGATTGAATTCAAACTTTCGCTTTAAGTAAGATCACAACAGGTAATAAAAAAATAATATATTTTCTCAATAAAAAATGAGGTTACTAGTTTTATATATGACATCCAAAATAGGTCTAGGAATTAACTACATTTTAAACGGTATACATTTAAGAAAAAAGACAAATTAAAGAACAGGAATTCATATCAGTTAAATAAAACATAAGTTAATAATTTACAATTTTATTCATATCTACAACATAGTATCACGATAATTTCTAACATTCACAATTTTTTATAAAATGAAAAAAATATGACTTTAATTCAAACTAACATAAACTCTCCTGTTGATGTTACAGTTCTATTAGTACGAATCCTACCCATAATAGAACCTAGAAAATAGGCACAAATTACCACCTTTTATAGCTTGTCTATGACTGTCGGTGATCACATAGACTTCTAAATTCACACTAATTTACAATTGTATGTAAATATTAATATATTATACGAGTTAACAAAACATCTAAAATCTCTGAGCAATGTATCATCATCATCAGCTTACTATACGTCCCCACTGAGGGGTTCGGAGCCTACCCTAGTTAGGGGTGATTAGGCCATAGTGAACCACGCTTGCCCAGTGCGGGTTGACTTCACACATATCTTTGAATTTCTTCTCTAGATATGTGCAGGTTGCATCACGATGTTTTCCTTCACTGTTCCAAATTAAAAATATATGTAAGTATTAAAACTAAAATAATGAATTGTACATTTGTTAAATTTATTCAATTCACAATTTAACTACAACACAAGCGTATTTTGGTACATTTGAATAGCAGGAACAACATACACAGCCTAGGTAAGTAACATTTTCCCCGACTGACTTATTAACAGGTTGCATTATGAACTTTTAACAGCTTCACTGAATTAATTGCATTTCATTCTATAATTTTTTCATTCGTTTATTATATATGAATTTATCGACCAAATGTATGGATGGATTGTGTACAGATAAGAAAGGTGTGAATACAGATTTGTGGAGTGCTAAATATACCCTATAACGTAAAGAACAAGAAGTAAAGTCAGCCGGGTTAATTTTTAACAAGTAGTTTAAGTTAAATTCGGTGGATGGGTGTGTTTATTTTGTCTGTCGACTAAAGTGTAACCGATAGTGACAACAATTGCATGGCAGTCATTAGTTCGATTCTCCACGCACAACCATTTGACACGAGACGAGCAGACTGAATGACGTGTGTAGCTGTAACCACGTAACTTCATTATTCTCGCACCGATCTCAGTTGTGAAAAACGTTGGACGAACTGCAAAGAAAAAAAACATTATTACCTGAAAAAGGTTTATTAGAAGGTATCTTCAGAATGGTTTTATTGATCACGCTGAAATTTGATATAGATATAGAACATAGTCTGGAAGATCACATAGGCTACTAAGTTTTTTTTAATTCCGCGTGAACAGAGTTTCGGGCGATAGCTAGTTTAAATATAAAACTCATGTGTAATGCAACGTCTCTCATAACTCACATTTCACCTCTAAGTCCTGATTTGTACGGCAAGGAATTAAAATATTTTTGACGATTTAGAACAGTGGTTCCCAAACTTATTTTGTCTACTGTCCACTTTGAGAATATTTTTTTTAGCGCCCCCAAATTTTTACATATTTAAAAACCATTATAACTCCAAATTAAATTAATTAATGATTGTTGTTGAGAGTCGAGAGCTCATGCAGTCGTTGTCTAACAGGCACCCTAGGCCTCTGGGTCTATTACCGCCCTCGAGACCTGTAGCGCCCACAAGGGGGCGTTATCGCCCACTTTGGGAAAGACTGATTTAGAAGGTTGACTGCTGGAGTACTTTAAGAAGACTTTAACTTTGTTTTCTTTATCTTACTAATATTGTAAATGCGAAAGTTTAGATCGATGGACATTTGATTCACAAGTATCTCAGGAACGGTTCAATGGATCTTTATGAAATTTCGCACAGATATAAAACATAGTCAGGAAGAACACATACTACTTTTTAACCAAATTCAAAAAGAAGGAGGTTATCAATTCGTCTGTATGTCTGTACCGCGTAACTCCGTCCATGGTGCTCCGATTTTGAATTTTTTTTAATTCTGCGCGGACGTAGTAACTTAAGGCGATCATTGTTTTTCAAACAGTCCAAGCATGATATATCGCAATCATAAACAGATTTTTCATCTGTAATTGAAAGTCTATTACCTTTTAAAACATTTTATTTACTACACGAATAACAAACTATTACATTTAGAACACTATTAAAAGTAAACTATTAGACTAGAGAAAGCTGAGTACATTTCTGGCTAAGAACAATCTTATCTTAACTCTTCAAAACACATAAAGCTGTTTATCCTACATACATCATTAGTAGTTGCACACAGAGACGTTAGTTAAGCGCTAAGGAAGACCATTAAAATAGAATTAAGATAGCGCACTCTATCAAATACATAATCCAAGCAAAAGTTAAATATAGAGAATCGCTTAATACTTAATACTCAGACTAATTCTGAGACGTAATATATCTTTTTAATAGTATGGGTAATATCTTCGTATATTTATAGGATGATTGTGAACATTTTTCATGCGTACAACAGCGGAGTCGTCCAATAAAGTGTAGAGGCAAGCGGTACATCCAATGTTGTATTTGCAGCAGCGATATCTCATCTTCCCGCCAGAGGCCGCGTGTCTCGTGAAGAAATATCCATCAACTAATATCATTTTATTACCATTTTTCCCTTTAACCCATGATACATCTGGTGCTGGAATAGAAAATATAATTGTTAGTTTCGAAATATTTTAAGATTTTCACTCTTACTTATCTACTTTACTATCTAACTTAAGTAACTATAAGATAGCGTTAGAGCCTTAAATGACTATTTTTATATGTAGATTAAAAATTATTTAAATAAAACATTATTTTTAGTAATGAATATTTTACTTAATAAACTCTAATAGGAACAAAACAATCAATAAACATAACGATTTAATAAATTTTAAAAACGTTGAAAACAAGATAAATCTCTTTTATTAATCGATATCTTTTAAATGTAAACAAAGAGGTATTTATAATACGGTATTCATGATTCTTTGGAACTTTATTCTGGCGGGTGATTGTGTTGAGGGTTGCCTTTTATAATGACGTCATCCAGGACAGTAAATATAACAGCTTTGCACCCTTTCTTATTGTGTGTTCCGCACCACCATCTTGTCTTGCCATCATTGACGCGGTGCCGAAAGAACTTGTAACCACTCCATAAAATCATGCGAGCACCTTTTGATGTTGTACTGAATACTGGACCTGGTTGAATTATTAACATTTTTTTCATATTAGTCAAATGTTAAAAATCATGTTTCGAAGATAGAATTGTGCTTTTGTTTAATCACAGATACTAGAAAGACCTTAGTTGTTAAAATGGATTTCAAATAAGATTGTAACGGAGGCCTTCTTAGCGGATGCGGATGTGAAGTGGCCTTATTGCACCGGATGCGGAGGTTAACTGATACAAAGGCAGAAGTTAAAAAAAAAACTAAGAAAGTGAATATTAAATATCTATATGACAGACGAAAAAAAATTCAAAAGGGTGCCAATGCGGAGGTAGGATTCAAGCGGAAAAACATGCGGAGGCGAGGTTACGTTACAACCCTAATTTAAAAGCTAAATTAGGTTATAAGAAAAGTGTTAAATTTTTATATGTCTCTCTAGTACTACTATTTAAATTAATACGGTATTAAATTCGTGAAATGGTCAGAATGTAGCAATTTTAAAGATGTAGTATCATTAAAGTAGAATATTTCATACTTTCATTACTGTCACAGCGCCATCTATTGATGCTTTCTGTAGTTGTATCACTTACAACCGGCTCTACTGGCTTTTCAGGCTTCGCAGGCTTTTCAGGCTTCGCAGGCTTTTCAGGCTTCGAAGGTTTTTCAGGTTCTTTAGACTTCTCAGGTTCTTCAGGCTTTTCAGGCTCTGCAGGGTCATCATCCGGCTCCCACACTATTGTGTATACTGCAGCTGTTAAAGAAAAACAGATTATTATATTTCAAGTTGTTTTTATTGAAACACGAAAGTACGCGCATTTATTATTGAGTTTTTCCTAGTTATTTAAATAAACGAATATATTCTTCAATTAATGCATGCTTTAAAGATATATTTAAACATAAAAATAAATATAAAATTATATAATAGAAAACCAGGGTGCCAGAAATAAGTATAGTTTAAGTAACAATTTAACGCAATTACAAAGAAGTTCGTTACTAACGATACAGGTAATAAAGTGTTTTAAATGTCCATAATGTTCATACTTATTATTTTATGTTAACATATTAACTTACAACAAATAACTTAAACTTACAATTTGGATTAACTTGCAGAAAAATACAACCGCACATAAATTTCAGGTTCTTCTTATATCGAATAGTTGAAAAACTATTTTTATAACCAAAACAGTGACTCTTAAAACTACTAACTACAGTTTTAAGGATTCATTTAGACACAAGTTCGTCCGAACATGTCCGGCGATGACGTCAGTATATATATAGCGGTCTCATGTTTTCCCATACGTTTGTCTCTCTCTGCCGCGACGGCGAAGCGTTATTCGTACGATTCCGGTTAATGTCTCAATGAACTTTATAGGTACGTGTCTATTGTTTCGCGCCGGACGCACCGCACGCACGATCCGCAACGGATTTAAGTTTACTTTGTATGATTTTACATGTCCATTATCCGCGTCCGCATCAAAAGACGGCATATATCGTCAAGCAATGAATTGCGGGTCATGTATGCGGTGCGTCCGGCACGTGCCAATGGACGCGAACCTTAAGGCGTTCGAGTTTTATGTTCCTGTTGACGTGTTAATCTATATGATTGTGGCAATTGTAGACTTTAACTACTGTATTGTCAGCAGTGTACACGGCCGCTTTGCATAGGTGCTGTTGTTTGACACAATGCCATCGTATCTTGTATCCTGTCTCTCTATGCTTACGGTACTGATAACCATCAAGACATAGGATCTTAGCGCCCCGGGATGATATGATGAACGTAGCAACTGAAAGAGAAAGAAGATATTAGAAACAAATTATCAGGTGTGGAGTCAATTTGATAGAGCTGACCATTACTCCATTGGCTCCTGATTCTTAAATCTCTGTATTAAATATATCGTCATCCCTGTCGTTACCTATCACAAAACAGAGATAACAATATGTTTTAATAGGGATTTTGGTCTCAGAAACTCACGATATGTCTTACTTTTGGAGTACGAATTTGTTTTTTCTTTACCGTAAATACGATATTACCGTACATAACAAACCCTGAACCCGGATGTTACAAGTCCGGTGCCTCACTGTGCTACCTCTGTTCCTGTATACGCAAGAAATCGAGTTAGATTGATAGATTAACAGCTCTTTATAAGCAAATATCACCTGATGTTACCTATTAAAACCGGCAGTAACGAGAATAATTTCACTGCTACAGAAATGGATTAATAATTTATACCTCCACGTTCATACATAATGTATTTATTATTATTATTTTTATATAAGGTGGCAAACGAGCGAGCGGCCACCTGAAATCGCTGAAATAGTGAAGGGACCGTTGCCCAGACATACGCAATTGCATATGCGTTGCCTACCTTAAATCGACGGAGAAGAGGATACACAGAAAGAAAATATCTTCCCTTTCCATGCATCCTATCATCCGGAAAGTCCACTTCCATCTCCCATCCTTTCCTTATAAGAAAAAGGGTGGGAAGAGAAAGAGGACTAAATTAGGCCTCCGGGACGCACACTCATCAGACGAAACGCACAATTGCTTCCACTTCACGCCTGTCTTCTGTGTGGTCGTGGTATTTCACCAGGCGAGCCGGGCCGATTCGTGCGAAGATGTTAAAGCGGGCTCTACCACTGTTACACTACTGTCTACAACTAGTTCACGCCCGCGACTCTGTCCACGTGAAATTTTAAATAAAACTTTTTGTATGGACCTATGTGTTCTTCCAGACTGTGTTCTAAATTTGATTGATATCTGGAGATGCCATAAACAAAAATTCCTCCAATTAATTATTTATTTATGAGATATAACTTAAATTGTAAAGTGAAATATTTGTTTTTTTTTATTAATTTAAATGGAAAGTTACATTTCAATGATTATGCACATTAGTATATCTGATAATCCTCTCGTCATCGATAGTGTAGAGAGCTGCTCCACAGCCGAACCTCTGTTTGTAACAGAACCAGCGCGTCTTCAAGCCTGATACTCTATGCTTTCGGAACATATGGCCTTCGAGGAAGAGCACTTTAGCACCGCGAGATGTCGTTGTTATCACTGGAACTATCCATAAATATTAGAAATATAACTAAGAAAAATAATAAGTATTTTAGATTTAACAATGCTTGGCCAAGAATGTGATTCTTGCCTAGTTGCTTCATTAGAGCGTCGGTGCCTTAGGAGTTACTTGATTTGTAATCTGCAGGTCCTGACCAAAAAGTAATCTTTATCTTTATAAAATGTTTATTATTGTGAAAAATAGTACAAAATCGTTTACTCGTGTTTCCATAATTTGTCGCAACTCTTGTAATATTAAAGTGGATGGTTATGTACATTATTATATTTAATAATTTGGTTCTGTACGGTGAAAAGAGCGGCGCTACATCCTCGCGCATGGTGCCAGCAATACCACCTTGTCTTGAATCCTGACACACGATGACGTCTAAACTTGTAACCATGGAAACAAAGAACTCTCGCACCACGAGCTGTTGTTATTATTTCCGGACCTATAATATAAAAGAAGTTATTAATAGATTTTTCTTAAAATTCAGAAAACGGTAATAATTTTGTTATAGGAAGTTTCTTTTAAGCTTTTCTTTGTTTATTATATCGTCACTCTGATAATAAACATATTATTTTATTAATAATTCTTGTATTATAATTATAATGTTACTTCCGTGTTTTTACGTCGATACGCTTAATGTGGCTTGACCCAATGTTATTTTACAAATTTATATTCATATTTCAATAATAAGTCATTATGTTAGTTTTGCTTTGCAATGAATTAATTAATCATTATATATTAAACCTGGACAAGCAAGAGTTCAAGGGACCGCGACATTTTTCTCGTTTATACAGCTTCCTCTCTAACCCGAGTTCCTCGCGTATTTAGATCGTCCGTGACAATAACTCCCTCTATTAGGGATTTCTCGCTTATCTAGTTTCAAATTAATAAAATTGAATTTAATCATTTAAATTTAAAGCAGTTCTCTCATTTTCTCTCTGTTGATTTTTCATTCATCATTTTTACACAATTCTTTTAACTTTGATATTTGAAAAGAAAAAAACGCTACAAAATAGAAAGTTCTTATACTTTTGAAATTACATTAATTTATGATTGTGTGTTTTCATACATTTTTTAATATTATGTTTAACAGTGTATATAAACGCCTTGCAACCTTGACGATGGTGTGTCGCACAGAACCAGCGCGTAGTCATACCCCAAGTACATTGTCTAGTGAATTTGTAGCCGGCCAGCATTATTCTGGCACCACCGTGAGATGTCACCACGAATTTGGCCGCACCTGTCATGGAACAGAGATTTTTTATCTTACTAATAATAAAAGCGAATGACTCTACGGTTCTTTCTGCAATTTGGCATGTAGATAATAGTATGGAATACATAGACATATGAAGTTTTTTTATAATTCAGCGCGGACGAAGTCACAGGTAAAAGGCAGTTTAGAAAATAACCTAGTTAAACTGCTACTGAAATTCAATAAAAGTAAAATTAAAATATCTCACGACTTATATTTCTTTATAATTAACATCTCTATAAAAACATCGAATCGGAAAGATTTTATAGAATTTATTTATGAATTAAACTCATGAATAAATCACAAAACACTCACAAAATAAAATTAACTAGGAACTTACTATACATATCTTTATATGTCTTTCATTTAATCCTATCTTTACAATATCAATCCAACACACATTTATATATCTTATATATAAAATTCTCGTGTCACAATTTTCGTTACCATACTCCTCCGAAACGGCTTGACCGATTCTCATGAAATTTTGTGAGCATATTGAGTAGGTCTGAGAATCGGCCAACATATATTTTTAATCCCGCGCGGACGGAGTCGCGGGCGACAGCTAGTATCTTTATTATATCATTTAATTAGTACACTAGATATAACAATATTATAGACTAATTAGGAAAACAGATAATCTAGCGAGGTTATCATGAAAAAGAAAAATTCGGTATCTAGGCATAGACATTATCGATTGATTTATGTAAACGTTCATAGCCTTGGAGAAAAATGTTTAAAAATATCAACAAAAAGTAAATCAGATTTAAAAATAAAATGTGCCAATTTAAATCATGTTGTCAGTTTTCCTGGTCAGATTTATTTATTCCATAATTCGGCAATCTTCCTTCGTAATGTTGTCCTTGGCACTTCGTATAGGTTGGCAGCTCGGAGACAGCTCATCTTCCCGCTCAGCACAGCCTCACTGGCAGCGACTAAAGCGCCCTCACGTTTGTAACGCATCCTACGTTTAACACGCTTGATTATGTAGATATCTGTAAGAAAAAGTATAACGAGGATATCAAACGATTTAATTTCTTTTTATATATACATAAAAGCAATTAAGCTAATTAAGAAAATAAACGAAAGAGTTTCTAAAATAAGTGAATTAAAAATGCTATTCAAATAAAAAGCATAAGTAGTAACAAGACAAGAATATAAATAAAAAATCTTACTAATATTATAAACGCGAATGTTTAGACGGATTTTTGATTGGCGTACAAAATTGGCATACATATAGAGCATATATTCTGGAAGAACACATTATGTTTATTTTAATTACGAACGGACGGAGTAGCGGACGACAGCTAGTGTATAATAAAATATAAAAATCATGACTTCACAACTTTATTTAAAAATATTATTTTTATACTGTTTCGCTAGTACAATGGCCGCTGCATAACACACAAACTTATAAGGCGAAATACATTCACTTCACGCCAGTCTTCTGTGTGGTCGTGGTATTGCATCGGTCTACTGCGAACTCTACCAATGCTACTATGTTTGCAAAACTATTGTTTATGGTAAGAGCAAACATTTGAAAACAAATGAAATACGTTAAATAGAATATTCTCATATTTTACTTCTTACTAATATTAGAAATGCGAATGTTTAGATAGATGGATGTTTGTTTGATGTTATCTCCAGAGCGGCTGAACGAATCTCGATGAAATTTGGCACAGATGTAGAGTATAGACTAAGAGAACTCATAGGCTAATTTTTTTTTAATTCAGCGCGGACCGAGTCGCGGGCGACTAGTCTACTATAAAGTATAAAATTTTAAAATGCCTTCTTCGTGAGTCCAGTAACGGGATGATTGTGGTTGTTATTACAACGGACTATAGTATCTTCAATTGTATGTATTACAGCCTTGCAGCCTTTGCTGTGGTGAGATCCGCAGAACCAACGCGTCTTCAATCCTGCCTGGCAATGTTTACTGAACCTATACCCCGACATGATAATAATCCGCAAACCTTTTGCTGATGTTGCAAAGTACGCTTCTGAAAAAAACGATATTAATTGTTGGTTAAAGTCAATCTCACTCCGTAGGATATGAATTGGGTGACATTATAAGTCATTTTGGTTAATAAAATCACAATGAAAGACATTACCATCCTGCTAGCCGAGAATAAGTTATACAAAAATTGCTAATATCAAATTATTAACAACCCATTCTCCAGTCCAACCTATTTTTACCTACTTTACATAATATATCCATGAACATTTGAAGAAATGATACATATATGTTTTAATCACAAAATGAAAT